TGACACACACACACACCCCGCATGGCAGGCACGTGCCCCGACACACACACACACCCCGCATGGCAGGCAGTGCCCCGGCACGCCGCAGCGGCACTCACCTTCCCAGCCCGGCCAGGTTGTTCAGATTGAGGGCCAGGTTGGTGACCGGAGACAGGACCCCGGGCGCCGGCGGCAAGAGGCCGCTGCCCCCCCGGGGGAAGCCGCAGGGGAGCCGGGACGGTCGCACCGCCGCGCTCCGGCTCCGGGCAGGGCTGGAGCCGCCCGGCATGTCCTGGCCGTCCATGCGGAGCGGAGCGGGGCTGTTACGGGGACCCGGGAGAGCGGCTCGGCTCGGCTCAGCGCTGCGGGACGGGGCGTGCGGGGCCGGGCGCTGCGGGACGGGCGCTGCGGGACGGGGCAGGACTCGGGGCGCTGAGCCGGGCCCCCCGCGTGTCGCTCTCTCCGGCTCCGCCTGGCCCGAGTCAGCGCGCCCCAGCGCCGGGCCCCGTATTTATATTCGAAAAATAACACGGGCGGGCGGCGAGCGGCCAGCCAATAGCACGGGCCGCCCGGCAGAGCCAGCCCCGCCAGCCGGGGGGGGACCGCCAGCCCCAGCCGGGGAGGGGTCAGGCTGCGGCGGTGCCGGGAAAGCGGCTCGCTGGAGCGGGCGGGGGGCTTGCAGCCCGCGGAGCTGGGGGGCGCCACCTCGCCTCATCCCAGGGGTCCCCCCATCGTTGCTCCCCCAATCCGAGCCCTCTCCTACCGCCGGCGGCGGGGATCGAACCACCAAAAGACCCGATTCCCCCCCCAGCTCCTTTATCCGCAACCTAAGTACGAAGCCCCCTGCAGCTCCGGCCCCAGCGAGGTGAATTTCCGCAGGCAGAGACACCGAGCCAGCCCCCCCGTCCGGGGGTTGACAAGGACTCGTGTGGACAGACATGGTCGCAGGGCGTTTTATTTAAATGGTGCAATCCCAGGGGAGGCTGCTTGGCATTAAACCCTCTCTGTCCACACACACCCCTTCCCGCAAGGTTTGCAGCTTCACCCTAAGGCGCTCGGAGGTGGGGGGGAGCGGGGCAGTTTCTTGGGGTGCGTGGGCCCCACCGGGGCTGGGAGAAGCCGACAGTGAAACTGGCTCCGAGCAAAAGTGAAAGCGGCAGGGCCTGTTTTCATTGCAAAGGCTGAGACATGTTGGGAAGCTTCCTGTGGGGACCGGTTTAATGGTGCGAGGGATGGGGCCTGAGGGGACGTCTTAGACCCTGATCCTGCCAGCAGGTCCAGGCTGCCGGAGCCCCCACCGCCTGCAGGGAGCAGCTGACAGGCTCTGGGCCTGAAATGTTACCGTTCACCCCATTGCTAACGTAGCAGCCTCAATCCCCCTCCTCCATCCTGCCCCCACCCCACCCCATTTGCAGGGTGACGGGGTTGGGTGGCTGCTAATCTGTGGCCCGACTTTGCAGCTCCCGGCGCCGGCCTACTTGGGCTTGCTACGGAGAGCATCTGCTGGGCCCAGGCCCCCTCTTTCCCGCCCTCCCCAAAGCCACATCTCAGGGCTTGTGGGACGCAGAGGGTCTTGCCTCGGGCCTGCACACCAGGGTGAATTTAGCACAAGGGCACCATTCCGAGCCACCCAGCCAACACTCCACGGAGCCAGGCTCCTGGCTGGATCCGAGGAGGCCAGTTGGGTCAGCCACGGTCAAGGGAAAATTAGGGGAGTGTCCATGGGCTCCGTGACCGTGCAGAGTCGGCGGCCAGACCCCCGCGCGGTGGCTGAGAAAGCCGGTTATTTATTTTCTCGAGCAAAAAATGAACCAGGAAGTTGTGCAGTGGAGGCCTAGCCCTGCCCCCATTGAAATCAATGGGGGTTTTGCTGTGGATACCCGCCAGGATTAAGAACTCATACGCCAGCGCACTGTCCGTTAACCCTTTGGAGACTGCAGCCCCTCAGTGCAGAATGAGCCCCTAAGTATTCGGGGACAGACTACGGCTAGAAGAGCTATTCTGAAGGTAACAGCAGATGCAAACAGCTAAAGGAAGCAAGGTTAAAGGTGACATTTCAAAGCATGAGGCCTTCCCAGGGTTCCTACATGCGCAGAGAAAGGGGAATTCTGCTCCTTGGTTGTATTCTGGTTTTCTTCCTTTTTTCTTCTGTTCAATCCAAAGCTCACAAAGGTCCCAACGTTTTCTTTATCTTTTTGTCTCCACGCATAAAACCTAACTATTAAACCACTGCAATTTTCAGACTCAGACCTGCTAAGGTGAATTTCCACACAGCCATAAACAAAGCCAGGATCTATTCTAGCATAGTTTGAAGGATTTATTCCATAGATTCCCTGGGGAAACGGTGAGATCCCTCCCCCTCCCCACCCACCCAAAGGCAATTCCCTTGTAATGCATCTGAAAACACTTATAAATGGCATACGGACATTATTTGTGACTTTCCTTAGTCGTTTGTTTAAAAACTGCTTTTTTATTTCACCCAGTCTTGTTAAAAATCAAAACTCCCTCACACCACATCCCTGAGAATGATCTCCCCCCTAAAAAAAGAACAGCAGTACTTGTGGCACCTTAGAGACTAACAAATTTATTAGAGCATAAGCTTTCGTGGACTACAGCCCACTTCTTCGGATGCGTGGAATAAATATTGAGGAGATATATATACACACATACAGAGAGCGTACTTCTCAGGCTCCTAGTTTAAGGAGATTAGCTAGATAGATAGATAGATAGATAGATAGATAGATAGATAGATAGATAGATAGATAGATAGATAGATAGGGTGTTCGGGGATAGATAGATAGATAGATAGATAGATAGATAGATAGATAGATAGATAGATAGATAGATAGATAGGGTGTTCGGGGATAGATAGATAGATAGATAGAGGGGGTTTATGGGGATAGATAGTTGGGGTGTATGGGGATAGATAGATAGATAGAGGGGGTATATGTAGATTAGATTAGATAGATACAGGGGTGTATGGAAATAGATGAGATAGATAGATACAGGGGGTGTACGGGGATAGATCGATTATATTAGCTATTTGTATGATGTAGCACATAGGAGCCCCAGTCATGGATTAGGATTGTGCTAGGTGCTGTACAAACCCAGAACAAATTATTACAGATTGGAAGCTCCTCAAGGCAGGGACCATTTTTGTCCTAGGTTTGTACAGCAGCTAGTGCCATGGGTGGGGCTTCTCCCACACTGCTGCACCAGTAATCCTATTAGAAGTCAAGAGAATATTTGCATTGTTCAGAGTTGTTCTTTTCGCCTTGTGGAATGGTCTATCCAGCCCCTGCTGGGTTAACACTTCACATTAGGTGGATGTTTCCCTTGAGACCAATTAGCAGTGAGGGAGTTAACAAGGCTGACACTGAAATGGTCATTTTTGCCCCAACACCCCATTGAACTGAATGGGTCGGTTCACACCTTCTCCCTAGAAATATTGTGTTGGGCTTTCTCCCCACCTGCACTCACCGGCTGGCCTTACCTTCACAAGCAGACAGGGCTGCCCTTTGGTTCTGTGTTTGTCCGGTGGGGTCCTGGTTCCTTGGCACTGTGGTAATACAAATAATAAATCCTAATAACATCTGTGTGTGTTTTTACCGTGACAGCGTGGATTGTGGGAAACACTAGATAGCCAGGACTGCTGTGGACACCCTGAAGCCACATTCTCATGTGGAAGTTCCAGGAATCCCCATTCATCTTCCTGTGTTATGCTCCTGCAGTTCCAGCCCTTCCTCATCTGACCCGCCCCCAGGATCCCCCCAATCCAGCCTCCCCCGTCTGTGTCCTAGCCGTCTCCCCTGCCTGTAACACCCAGCTCCTTCACACTCGGATTAGCCTCAAAGCAGCCATGTTGGGGGGCTCCCGTGATGATGGCACGCTAAGAACATGGCTGTGCCATGCTCTGGACACAGGCCCAGTTCGAGAATGTGGTTAAGGTTGTAGCACGTTGTGGCTGGACCTTTGGACATGGGTCCTTTCGTAGTCAAGGACGTTGTAGGCCAGCAGGGACTGTTACAAGCATCCAGTCTGACCGCCTACGTAGCACAGGGCAGAGACCCACGCCCAGAGATTCCAGCGTCCAGCCCCATCGCCTGTGCTGGAGCAAGAGAGTGTGGAGACTCCGCCACACCCCGGGCAATCTCCAGTAAAGTTACCCTCCTTGGTTAAAATTGCCTCTCGTTTCTAGTTTGCATTGTAATCTGGCACGTCCGCTCCGGCCCGGAACGAGCGATGGGTTCAACCCTCCACAACCTCAGAGCGTCCAAGATCATGCCAGGGCCATCTCCACCCTACCTCCCAGGTCCCTAGGGGCTCTCCCCACAGCCCCATCCCACGCAAACTCCCCAAGCAGTTGGACAGGCTCAGCCTGGCATCGCTGCAGGCTTGGGGGGTGCAGGGGATCGTGCGGTGGAAGGCAATGGGCCCCACCCACAGGATCAGGAGTTATCAGGGAGCAGGCCTGCGAGTGGGCATTTGCCCCCCTTTCACTCACCCCCAGCCTGGGCCGGCTGAATTTTGCACCCAGAGGGCCTTGCCCGTCCCGGGGTTATCCATTCAGCTGTGCATAGCACAGCAGAGAAGGCAATGGTGGAGGGCGGGAGGCCGATTGTGGCCTAGGATGAGTTACTTACAGCTGAAAAACACCTCTAATTTAAACTGAGCGTTCTGGGCCAAATTCACCCCGGCGTAAGGGCCGTTGTATTCTGGGGAGTTGCACCAGCCACAGACTGAGGTCACAGGGGCCTAAATTGTTTCATAAGTCTGTTTCACGGTGGTTTCTTAAACAGGAAATCTACAAATCTACTCTGTGTTATTTCAGGAAGGGCTCTAGGGAGGAAGTGTACTTTTGTGGCTAGGGCAGAGAGGGGCTGGGAGTCAGGACTCCCGGGTTCTAATGCCAGTTCTGGGGGTGGGGTCTAGTGGCCACAGAGGGGGGGGAGGGCTAGGAATCAGGACTCCTGGGTTCTAATCCCAGTTCTGGAAGGGGAGTGGGGTCTAGTGGATTAGTGTAGCGGGGATTCAACACGGATTGGGAGTCCGGAGACTTGGAGTCTATTCCTGGCTCTGCCACTGATCTGCTGAGTCACTTCCTCTCTCTGTACCTCAGTTTCCCCTTCTGGGACTGATGATGTTGATTCACTTCACAGAACAAATTCATGGATGTGCGAGAAGTGCTTTGAGAGCCTCAGCTGGAGCGGGGAGGGGCGGAGTACTACGCTGGGTCATATCCTCCCCTGGTGCGACGACTCCATCCACTTCGGCAGAGTCCCAGCAAGTGTGCGCTTCACCCAGGAGCTACTGCTGCCAACTGCCAGGGCCCAGACGTGCCAGGCTGCCCTTTAAACCCCATCAGCTCTCCCATTTATCCCATGCTAAGCAAGGAGGGCTGGTCCGCTTTGGTGATTGTTAGTGGAGAGCTTTGTCTACACAAGGCTTTTTTGCCAGAATCCCAATCTTGGCTACCCTTGAACACCAATGGTGGGAGTGCTAGTGTAGACAGGTCTCTGGCACCCACTGGAGTTTTAGGACAGAGTCTATAGGTCTGATTCTCCTTTTAGTTATGCTAATTTTATAGCATTGCAATTCCAGTGGAGTTACTTCTGATTGACATTAGGGTCAATCAATTAGGGGACCATCAGTCCCAGGGAATCTAAGGGAAGTGTGATCTACCCCCCCCACTTCACATCAGTTGGGGCGTTGACTCTGAAACATAATGATGACCATTTGAATGTCAACGTGTACTTTTTCGCCAGTGACGACTTTGGCAGAAACA